CTAATTAAATCCTTCAAGCGGCAAGTTGATGATGGCTTCTTCCCCTTCATCATTGTGGATTGCATTCACAACAAAGTGAAACACTTTGCTGAGATGGCTACCCATGCCAAAAAGTGTAATTTTGAGGTATGTTTGCAAGTTGTTTTTAAAGTTGTATGTATGGGGTGGATGAGAGACAAGGGAGAATGTCAGTGAAATGAGAGATGATTAGGGAGTTTGATAGGTATTTTATATTTTTTTGAAGAAGACCTGTTACAGAAAATGTCAGTAAGTATGGAAAGGGTAGCAGTTTTTGTGGAGTCGGATGTGATGCTTTTTATCAATCTTCATATATGGGTTTTGTTTTGTTGATTGGTTAAATGTATGGTTGTGTGTTTATGTCGATAGTTGCCTTTGTATTTACAGAGATGAATGTTGATTTTATGCATGTACTCATACATACCCTTGTTTATTTGCTCAGTTACTAACTTCTATGTCTAATGTTTAAGGTATATATTGGTGAACTAGAGGTAGACCAGAGTATCTGCCACAGAAGAAACACCCATAACCACTCCAGAGAACACATCCAGAACATTATACGCCAGTGGGAGAAGACGCCAGCATCATATACAAGAGTAGATCTGACGCCATTCATTCAAGATGCTGCTATTGAAGAGGTTAGTGATTTCTTCCTCGTCCCCCTTTCTTTCATTAGGAAGAATGATAGATAGTTTCAGGTTTCAGATCACATGAAGTATGTGCTGTAATTGATTTGATGTGCTGTCTGTAAGTGGGTTTCCCTCTTCTGTATATACAGTCGTACATCACTTGCGTTATTTGATATTGGATGTCATTATTTGGATTCAAATGCATAATGCGGACATGGCTAGGTCATACAAGATGCATGTCCTTTATTAGATTTTTTAATATTTTTCTTTGTTTTTGAGAATCAAAACAATTGTCATGTGTGACATGCTGAAATCAAGAGCGATAACATTTTCAGAATTCGTATGTATGTGTTTTTTGATAACGTTTTGTTTAAGTTTCAGTTTTGTTTAACTTCCTTTGTCTTTTGTTGCTGCTATCACATGGTTTTGGTGCATCATAGAAAGAAAATTAAACAGAAAACACTACACAGAATTGGGTGCTGTAGCCTATGAGTTGATAAAAGAGGAGGTTCACATTTAGATGATAGAGAACCATACTCTACATACAGTAGATATTAAAAATTGAAGAGGTTGTCCAAGTTACAAGAGTAGAGTATTAAGCTGTTAGTAATGGATGGCATGATATACATGCTGTGTCCACTATAATATTAGTTTATTAACCTGTTGGATCTGATTGTGTCACAGAAATCACAGTGCTGAAAATGCAGGCAGTGCTTTACGTAAGTGGCCAATATCCCGGGCGTGCGGCACATAGGCCGGGCGCACGCGAGCACTCATGAGCGGTGACAAAACTTTGTGCCTCCCCTTTACAAAGTTATTTTGTGTAAACTTTTTTAGCTTTTCTGCCATTTTCCAATGTCCATATTTGTCTTGTGATGTGCTTTATCCAGATGATAACAGCTTTTTTCCTTGTGCTGACTCCTTATCATCTCTCTATGTTGTAAATAACTCAGTGCAAGCCCCATTTTTAAGTGCCAAATGAGTCAAATCACATTCCATGAGGTTTGTGCACTCGTGGCAAGTCTTTTCCAGATTTTTCCATGACAGGAATGTAATGTCACCTGGATTGTTGTTTGTTTGTTTTTTTCAATACATCCTGTGCCACTGTTCATGGCAGCCAAGAGTAGTATCCTGAGCATGGAAATGATGACCTCCCTGGAGCCGGTGCTCTTCCAGTCATGGCTCGTTTATTGATAGAAATAATGTAAAAGCTCCTCCCTAAATGCTAAATGAGTCTGGTCACCCTCCTAGAGGTCTGTGCACTCATGTCGAGTCTTTCTGTCACCCCAGCCCACAGCATAGTTCATGTCACCCACCCCTCATGCCAAAGTTTTTCATGACATGATGGTCACGTCATCAAGTTCATAGGGGTTCATAATGTTATGATAATCATATTGTCATATGATAGTAACTTCAATATGAACAACGTTAAAACAAAACGATTTTTCCAAAAAATTAAAAGATTGGCAAAATCAGGTGCTTTTGGAGCCATCTGTGTGAGTCAGAACATTTACAGTGAACAGCGCATGTACCATCAGCCCATGTGTTTTATGTAAGTCACTGTCGATGATAGAAATAGACTTCTCTATTTAGTGCTCATAGTTAAACATAACTTGATGTTGTTTTCTTATAATTATATTAAATTGAGGCTAGTAGAATATTTTCTTGTAATGTATGTTATATATTATTACATAGCTTAAAAAAAATAATAATGAAATTAGAAAATAACATATTGTTGACAAGCCATACTATGGTTTCTGCCTTGAAAGAAGTGCCTATTTCCCAAAAAATCTGTAAATACATTGAAAATCTTCTTTTGATTTGATCCTAATCTAGAAAGTATGAAGGTGAGTATCTAATAAGGCAGTTACATATACTGAGGTGGAATAGCCCAGTGGTATAGTGCTGGGATCGCACCCAATCACCCCTTTCTGTCAACTCGGCAGTGAGTGAGTACTAGCATGCTAACATCAGGGTGCAGGGTCAAAGTTGGAGTGGAAAGGAACTAGCCACCCTCCCTCATCATCCTGCGGCTAAGTACACATGTCCCTCTACATCCACTTGGATATGGGACCAGCAATACATGCTCTGGCGAGTTGCAAAGATGGCTTACATTGCATCTCCCACCTCCCTCCAGAGCAGTGGTCCCAGTTAAAAGCTCATAGGCATAGGATTTCAGATAAACCCGCAGAGAAATTGGTCTTTTGTTCTTCGTTATTATGCAAAATTTATCTATTTTCTATATTTAAAAAAAGTTGCTTGATTTTTATTTACATTTGTGCAATCTTGCATACATGCATGTGTGTATAAATACATTACTTTTATATTATGAATACAAAGAAGAGAGACATTTGGAAATTAATTTGGACAGTTATAGTATGTAGAGACACAGTTATAAGATAGCTGTGCTTTATATATTTACATTTGATGTGCACATGGTGCTGATAGTGTGTAGAAAAAATATGAAATATGGAATATGGCTTTTGAACCATATGGCATCAGGATGAGAAAGGTGGAGTGCAATGAAATAACTAAAAGAAAAAATTATGAACATTTTTCACATAGATGAGGAATAGGCAGGTTTTCTTGGTTTGACAGGAAGAAATTATTGACTTTTGAGCTTTAGAATAGTCAGGAGAATGAATGAAAGGCTCAAGTGTAAATTAATATTTGGATGGTAAGAAAATTGCATTTAATGAGAACAGATTATTAGCCAGATAAGAAGAATTACAGTATAGATGAGAACATATTAGCACACAAAATTAGTAAGAAAGACAAAAGACCTTGCATCTATCATCTGAAACTCATAAGAGATATTGAAATAAAAGAAAATTTCATGTAGATGTAAAGCAATTAACCCTAAAAGGAAGAAAAAGTTCCGAGCTTCATCTGTGCACAGGTTGATAAAAAAAGAACTGTATAAAGTAGTGGAAAAAATGGCAGATAAAACTACTTAAACTTACTTTGACCATGTTTACTATAATGACCTAAGTGTAACAGGGCAATATAATGTATGTCTACAGGATGGGGGAAAAAGCAAGACTAAAAAAATGTATTTGAATAGACTGTAAAAGAAGGTTTTGCTGCCTTTGCCATGGGTAATAGACATATTTATGATGATGGCTGTATATTGTCCTTTAGTGGCTATGGTGCCTATGAGGACATTCATGTATGGATGAGATTGCAACGAAATTTGTATGAGTGAACTGCATTTTATAATTGCATGACTATAAAAATTCAACTCTGTGAGAATGGGCAGGCATTTTGAAGAACATTTCACATTGTGTTTGATCTCTATTAATTTCTCTTAATTGGCATCAACAGATTGGTAAGTATTAAACATGATGAGCCACTGGTACGATTATCAAGCTTCTTTTAGGCAGATGTATCCCTATACCCCTCCAAAAAAGAGAGAATACTGTACCTCATGCCAAGACTAACACACCAAATGTTTCAGGTGGAAATGGAAGATTCCATGGAACCAGCAGCTACAGATAAAGAGAAAAAAGAAGATGTAGAAGATGAAGATGAGTACAAGGAAGCCTTCAAAAAGGTATGTCACTCAGGTGCTGCCCTCGAAAACCATAGAACTGGTAACCATCACAATGTTAGCAAACAATTAAACTCTCCTCAAGTTAAAAATATGGCCTATAACCAGAACAGTTCTTCTGGGAGTGCCAAGAAGCCTGGCTCTGGACAAAGATCCTCTGGAGCAATAGAAAACAGACAGAGTAATTTAAATAAGCGGGTTAATCAACCTGTTTCCCAAAAGTCTAATAGTCTCGGCCAGCAAGGAGTTGGGAAAATAGGTCCTTCACAAAATGAGAATAGTAAAAAGGATAAAGTCCAAGTAAAACCTAGCCAGGGTGATAAAAAACAGGGTGTAGTAAACCCTGCACAAAACAAAGCCAATACTACAAACCAGGGGAACCAGGAGAGCACCTCAGTGAAAAAGGAGCCAGAAAGAAGTGGAAATGTGCCGCAGAAGACAGTTAAGGGTGGGGATAAGAGAAATTCTGTCCAAGTAGGTAGTCAACAGTTAGGTGCTCAGCAGGTAGCAGGTCAGCGAGTTGCAGGTCAAATGGGAGGTATGAGCTGGGCCATAGGGAACCAGTCAGTCAGCTGGGGTGGGCTGGCAAGAGGGTTTAGCTGGAGTGCAGCTAGGTTGAGTGGGGTCAGCTGGGGCATGATGGGGGGTGCTGCTCCAAGAGGAGGAAGGGGAGGTGGGGTTAGCTGGGGCTCAGCTGGAAGAGGTAGGTTGAGTTGAGCCACATTGCATTGGGTTTCAACCTAACAAGGGTATAGGTGCCAGTAACAAGCAAAGGTAACTCATGAAGGTATAATTAGAATTGGAAAAATTAGTGATAGTTGCTAGATGTCTGAAGAGTTCTATTCACTTTTTTTTTTTTTTTTTCCTTCCTTCTTTTTTCATCATCATCATCTCTTGACATTTTCATTTGCATCAGTAAGAATAGGGTATATTTTCAGTATCCAGTAACAAGTTTGTTCAGTTGTGATACTTTAGTATTTGGATTAAATGCTCCTTTACAGGTTTGCAAAAATGCAAAAGCTGACATGTTATAGGTTATTTTAAATAGCACTCAACCATAATTCTTGTTACTGATGAATGCTTAACTTAGTCACTCTGTCATACTTACTGTTAAGATGAAGTGGAGTAAGAGCACCATATATTTTTTCCACTATACAGTATTATCATCATTATTTGCAAGTGATCTCAATGAAAAGCTTTGCTCAAAGTTAAGGGATTGTCAGTTGAAAAGAAAGAAACAATTGATATAAAGAAGGAAAATAATATATATATATTATATGTTTTATATTATATTTTAATATATATAAATGTATGTGTGATTGGTATGTTTAATTTATCAGTAAGTATGACATGATGTTATGATTGATTCTTAGAATTTTTATACTGAATAAAGATAGTGCTGTGTTCTGCATAAAAGTGTTTTATTGGTCATTCTTAAATTAACGTATTAGAATTTGACAGCAAACATGTAATTTATGTAACATCTGATAAACAAAATGAAGATGGAACTTGATCTCTCAGATTTGTCTTGTTGTTCCTGAGAGGGATCTTCAGTTCTATTTATTGTTTATGTTGTCCTTTGAATATATCGAGTTACAGGTTTGTATTTTCCCCCTTTCTTAAATGCAGAAAACCAAGGAAACTAGTGAGTAGGGTGGAAAAAAAACGGGTGAAAGCTATTGGAGGTATTGTGATTTAGAGGCAAAAAAGTGGAATGAGATAAGTAGTGGAAAAGTGACTACGGAAAAGCAGGGTCCTTCATATTCTTTCTGTGCTTTGACCATGTAATACCATCAGGAAAAATATTGACTGTACTTTTAATGTTTGTGATGGTTATGTGGCATCATTTTTTATGGGAAATAAACTGGATTCAGGCTACAAAAAATATTTTGGAAATAAGTACTGATTTCCTGTATTTATTAATTTATTTATTATCAAAATGATAATATTATTATTAATATTATTATTTTAATAATGTAATATTTCAGTTTTTGTTTTGGCAAAGAAAATAAGCTTCTTTGTTGATGTACTAGGTATCTCTAGTAAAATGTGATATATTCATTTTTAATGAATGAAAGAGAGATGAAGGTCGAGAGAGGTGAAAGGCAGATATAGATGCAGTATGTTGTTTACATGTCTGCGTGTGCATATGTAAGACTGTACAGTACAGTGCTGCATTAACACTACATGACTATTTACCTTTGACCTGGAAACCATGATTTCTTGCTGTTTTTTTTATAAAAAGTCGAGAACAAAGTTGTATTAAACCGCTGTAAATTAATTTGCTTCCAAACGAAGGTACATTTGATATTCATTAGGAAAAGTGAAAAGAAAATTAAGTAATGCAGAAAAGGGTAAATTAATACAGCAGCTTTCGTAAAGAAACTGGCATGTGACAGGTAAGGAATCTAAAAGACTGTAGCAAAGCTTCGTGAAGGCTAGAAGACCTAAAATTAACAGTTTTTTGTGGTATTTCCAGTCTTTTGAAAAACAGGTAAATGGTCAGGGTGAGAGAGAGTGAGAGTGAGTGTGTGTGCATGAGTGTGTAAATGAGAGTGAGTAAGTAGGCAAAAGAGTGAGTGAGTATACAAGAGAGTGAGTGATTGTACAAAAGATTGAGTGAGTGTGGAAGAGCATGAGGGAGTGTGCAAGAGAGTGAGTGAGTGAGTGTGTGAGTGTGTATGTGTGTGTGTGTGCACGCGTGTGCAAGAGAGAGAGAGAGAGAGAATGTTTGTGTATGTGTGTGTGTGTTCGTGCATGTGTGCGTGGGTACGAGTGCACGCCTAGAAGATATTCATCTTTGCAAAATAAGGAAGGATTTACCTTGCCTTTGTATATGTGGTAAACAAGGCATGCTACAGATATCAAGAAAAATAGATTTAATGTGTTGACAGATTCATTTCCCTGTACAATTTAAAAGAAAAATAATGAGTACAGTTTAATGAACTGCAGATGGTAGTACAATTTAATGCAGTGCTTATTCATAGAAGATAGATAAAGTGGTGGTATTTATTTTTCTTTAATCTAGTGCCTTTGACAGAGGCAACAAGGAAGCTCCATCTTTTCTAAATGTCTTTATTGCATTTGTGCTTTTAGTCAGTTTTGCTTATTTACAATTTTTTTTTTTTTTTTCTTATTTTTCTTATTTGTTAGTGTTTTAAATTATTTCTTTTTGGTTTAATAAAAGGAGTATGATTGTTATGCGGAGATTTTTTGTAATCTGATAATAGCAAGAAATACAAATACAAAATAATGGAGAAGATTTGCTTAAAGGTCTAAACACCAGTCCTTGTTTCCATTTGTCAAAATTAGGAATATACTTGTCCATAGAAGCACTCGGTTGCTTAATAAATGCTAGAGTGCTTCCTGTTTTACATGTACAGCCATGGATCATGGGCAGTCGGTATGCGCCAATATGATTTTTTTTCTTTCTTTTTTGTTCTCTTTATTTGATTCTTGTGCTCTTTTCTCTTCTTTCTTATCCTTCTCCTCTCATCTCTCTTTGCTCTTCTTTCTCCATGTTCCTTGATTCATACATATGTGTATATATATATTTTTGTAAGCAGTGTTGAGGAAGCGGTATTGTTTTGAGTGATGTATATAATTTTTTCTTCTTTTCATAGGTTGATTTTGTAGTTTCTTTTATTAATCTATGTTAACAGCAGAATTAGAATTAGGAAAACAATTTGTGATGTCATGTTTTATAGTGTATTGTGGGAGAAGACCATCTTTTCCATGAAATCTGGATGGTACATTTTAAAAAAATAAATGTATATGTTGGAGAAAAAGAGACAGGAACTGCTGATTTTATCCCTGAATCTTTGTGTAGTATTAATTTTTCAGCATACTTGACTTCATTTTATTTTGTTCTATCTCTATTTCAAATGATTATTAGAATTTCTGCCATAAGAAGAATAAAATTACATGCCCCAAAATTTTTGAGAATGTAAATTTGGTGTGGATACATACCTGAAAGTTGTGAAAAGAACAAAAAAATTGAATCTCAGAAAATAAAACATTTCTACAAGATTGAATGTTTCAACCTTGCTTACTAACAATCAAGTGCGGCAAAAAGAAACAGGATACACTCCAACTCTCGCTTAACCAATTTCCAGAGTCCATACCTCATATTGGCATTTAATAGAAGAAGATTATGGCAGCAGCATTCCCACACACACTGGGACACATATCCCTTTTTACCACAATACTTTACCGTAGTGCTACATGACCTTTGATGTCTAGCACATTTATTTGTTTCAACAATTAACTTAGCATACATACCCAGGTTTTTTTGTTTTATGTTTTTCTGTTAGCTGGAACCTAGATTACTTGTAAAGCAGTGATTGCTCGAAGTGGCTTTTACCATGAATTGTCAAGTAAAGTGAAAGATTGATGGTATAATGGAAATTTCTATTAATTCCAGTTCATCTTTAACATCAAGCCACTTGTTATTAATTTGATTGAACTGTTATAAAAGTACAGATGACATATTAAGCTACATTGCATTAGTTGCAACCATACTTTGATTTTCATTTTAATTCCTTTTGCACACTATAGGTATACATTGATGAAGAAAATGGCTTATATTTGACGTGAATGTTAATGTTTCCGACTCCAAGATGTGAGTCGTGGAATATAAATGTGAGAGTGTGTGTGTTTTTGTGTATGTGAATGTGTGTGTGATTGTAATTGTAATTGAATATGTGTATATATTTATGTATGTGTTTATGAATTTTAACATTTTTTTGAGCCTACATGGTACTGTTATACAACTCTTGAAATATTATTCGACTGCTTTTCCAGGTTATTTCGTTAGTATTATTTTCGTTTTTATTATTGTTTTTATTGTATTTTTTTTATTTTTTTTAATATTATAATTATCATTGTTTTCATTATAATTAATAGTAGTAGTAGTGATAGCATCATCATTAGTCCTATTAGTATTATTTTTTTGTTGTCATGCTTATTATTATTATTGGTTATTATTCATGTGAGCAGGAAATTTGGCATCATTTCAATTAATTAAGAATCAAGCCATAGATTTGCATTAATGATTTAAGAAATAGATTACTAAAAAGTCCATGATAAAAAAGGTAAAAAGATCAAAAACTGTAGCTCACTTTGTGCCACTGATCTTTCAGAAACTCTTGTGTGTGTGTCTGTGTCTGTTTGTGTGTCTGTGTCTCCAATCGTATACCTGTCTCTGTTTGTCTTGTCTGTCTCATGCGCACATACTTAAGAGTGTCTAGTGCTTAAAGTATGATTTGATGGAAATTATTTACCTACTTTTTGGTAACATTATGGTATTACAAAGTTCACTGAAATGAGTTCAGTGAACCTTTGCTCAAGCAGAGACACTGCCTACACTTTTATATAATACATATTGGTCACGTGTACTAAATATTTTGTTTGTAACCTGCTCTCTGTGCAAATTAAGATTTATAAGATTGATGGCATAAGAATAATGTAAGATTGGATGAAGAGCATGAATAGAATATGGAAAATATATCAAACAAAAGGTTATGGGAAGCATTATATGCAAATGATGCCTCTACATACAAATATAGATGTCTTTTAGGTGAGATGATCAAGAAGGTTTTTCTCTCTTTCACTCTTGCTTTCCTTCTCTATTTGTTCTATATATTGAAGGCCATTATCATTTTAAGAACAAGAATTTTTACTCTACAATATCTTTCCCCTTTGTTTCTCCTCAAATTATCTGCTAGCTGTACTTTACTGGCAAAGTATGGAAAGTACCTTGCCATTAAGAAGCACAACAAACTTCTTTTCTGCTTTTATCACATCTACACCAAAAGGGAATAAAAAGTGAATCATCAGATAACATTATAATGATATAAACAGGTCTGGTAAGCTAGTAGTTTGTCATTATCTGTCAAAGCTTTCTTTTTCAAGTTGATATGAAACCACTTTGGATTGTAACTTCATTGTGAGTGAATCAGATTTTGAGATTAGAATATATATGTGCTTTCACTTCATGAGTCAAGTGTGGGAGTGAAGGAAAGTCAGATGAAGTTACATGTATATCTTCGAAGTTAGATAAGTGAAATTATTTTATGGCTTGATTAGAATGAATGAAAGTTGTAAACTTTGAGCACATGTTATTACTTGTTTTAAACAAGTTTCAGGAGTAATTACTTGTTTTGCCTTTGCCATATCTTTATTCTCAGCACTCGCCTTCCCCTATCTGTGACATGCAAATGACACTCCATTTTTATTCTTAATGTCAAGAGATGAATTCTTACATACTGTAAAAATCATTTATTTATTATGTGAGATAACATCAACCAAATGTACAAGCAATGGGTTTTTTTTATGTATAATTCCAAAGAGTGGAGATTTTGACAAAGTCTAATGGCTTGTCTCGTTTTAATGTCTTGGTTTCAGAGAGATCACATTTGTGTGATGGAAGATAGTACAGTGGTCTCTGCATTTGCCTGTGTGTATTTTATTATTTTCTGGTTATCTGTTTTATGCAGTTAATATGTCCTTTGGTCTTCTCGTGTCTACTTTTTTCTTGTATCTGTTTGATTGAATTTTTTGTTTGTTCGTTTTTAAATTGCCAGAAAGTTATTTTGAAAATTGCATACTTGCAGAACTAGTTGAAAAGGGTACTCATTTCCAGTTGAGAGAAGCATTATGGAAAAAATTACCTTTATATTTCATTTTGAGTAAATAGTAAATGCTGTAGTAGCACCATAACACAAACTACTTTTACTGAATGTTGGTCTATGGAGACTTTTTTCTAATAAAAAAAAATGAACAAAAAAAATATGAATAAAAATGGAAATAATATCTGTAACACATGTACCAAAAAGGATTTCGTTTTGTGTGTAAGGGGTATTTAGTGTTTTTCATGTTAAGCAGAGGACGTGGTGTATAGGTCTTTCAAATAATTTTTCCCCTTAAGTTCTTGGTCTTTCTGTTGGACCAATTTAGTTGATTTCATTCATGTATGTATTTTGTAGACTGTATACACACAAGACTGTATGGTCATCAGTACAAACAACTCCCAACATGGAAAAAAAAATATAAAGTTAAAAAAAGAGGAAAATATAACTTACTTTGTCTTAACTGTCCAAGGTGGGCATATATATATGTACAGTCAGTATCATAGTAATAGCAGTATAAAGTATTGTCTGAAGGATAATTACCTGGGTTTGTGAGTGTACTGTGAATAGATATTAAATTTAGATTTTTGTTTTGAGGAATAGCGCTCTGGTGTAGAATGTCTTTATTTTGCAAGTTATTCCATAAGAAGACCTTTTTCTTCAATGCAGTTTGTATCTACTATTAGCAGAACTCTAGATTTTTCATCCAAAAAAACGAAACAAAAAAAACGGTAAGTTCACATGTAATGTGAACCAAATTGTAGCTTGTATATTCATAATCATGGCTTTGAGAGTGTGAAACAATTACTCTACATTTCCCGCTGATAAGAGCAAGAAAAAAGGCAGTTTATGCTAGAATACGATGGTGAAAATAATAGAATATTCCAACATATTTCCAAGAGATTAAAAGCAAACACGGGAAATTTAGACTATTGTTCCACAATTAGTATTTAGGTATTTAAAGCAAAATTATGATTAAAAAGGTAAAATTTCAGTCGAGTTTTTAAAAAGATAAAATGAATGTGAAAAGTCTGAATGTAGATTTAAATACTGTTGAAATATGTTGATTTCTTTTTCTCATACACTTAACAAATAAAAGTGTTGATAACTGGTATTTCTTTTCTAACCTTTCATTAGTGATTTGCACAATGTTGTATTGTACAATAGGAATTTCATTGTTCAAGTTTATGGTTTATAGATGGTATAATCCTTACATCATTAAATGGAATCATTCATGGGTGATATTTATATCATGTATATCAGTGTATAATTTATACTGAATGTTGGTAAATCTGGGCTTACAAAGGTGAAGGGTAATCACAATTTTTAGGCTATGACAGTATAATGTCTTATGTACCATTATATGACTTATGTTACATCATGTGACTTGCCATACTAAAAGCACATTATGCTCTGAAATGACACAAGTAATGGAAGCAGCTGATGTTCAACTGACATACTGTAATGTGCAAAGCCAAGTGCAGTGTTTTTGGCTCAGTGTTCTTCATGTTTTCATTGCTCCTTCAGTGTTCATTACCATGAATGTGTATATCATGTGCTTATGAATCATGTGATTTGACATATATCCGCAGGTTTATAATGATTTTATTCGGAGCAAATGGGATACCATGGAAACCCAAGAAGAGAAACTCGGTAAGTTTATAGTCTGTTTCGTAATGTAAAATATTATATTTATCAATGCCATTATTTTTACAATTATTTCTTTTACAACCCATATGCCCATTTTGCAGCAAATTGACCACACTGTTTTTAGTAGGATAAAAGTGACGTAGTTTGTCCAGGATTTGAAGGAAATTCAGATATTTCTTGTGTGTTTGTTAGAAAAGAAATAAGTGTGCTTCTTCAGTACATTTACTGATTGAGATGTAAGTTGTGCCAGGTTGTGATAAGAAGAACTTAGATTGAATAAGGAAAATGGCATGATTAGCTAACTAATGATACTTAGTAACCTCCTCAGATAAATAAGATTAGATTGGCTTCCATATTACATTATTTTTACATCAGTCTGGACCCTACATGCAAGCTATAAATTGTACATGGGAGTAATTTACCTTTTGTAGGAAGTGCAGTTCCTGTAGAAGTTGTTAGCCCATTGACACCTGAGGTGGATGTCCGCTGTGGTTTTGTTTCATTAGTTTTGCCTACTCAGAAATGGTTTCCGAAGTGCTTGGTTGCCAGTGCTTTGTTGACTAAGCCTATTTGACCCCACCTGCGTAAACCATTCCGATTATTTTAGGAAGAAAAGTTTTTTGTTTTATTTCTGTTATTGTTATTAGCTTTATGATGGTAATCATGACAGCATTGGATATGATAACAGTATTAGAACTAAAACTTTTTTTCCAGAAATTCAAAGAATATAATAAAGAGATGAGATCAAGTAGATCTATTAAATGACTTCTTGGTGACCAAGTGTGTATGATACCATCTGTGTGGAAGCAAAACAACTAAAACAAAGCCACAGGAATGAATACATGTACCTAGTACCAATGGTTTAAGAATCTGTTAACACAAGAAAATGTTTTATCTACTTTTTCTTTTGATTCTTTCTTGGAATATGACCACTCACAGTAGCCTAGGATACTACAGTCTTGAGGGTGACTTCACCTTTCAACCTCTTTCTTTTATTTACTTATTTATATATCTGTTTAGTTTATTATATATATTTCATTACTCTTAAGTAGATATCCAGTTGTGTAAAAAGGTAATAACTCTTCTTTTCTCTCTGCAATCTACAGACAAGCTTGATGGTGTGAGGTCGGCCAAAAAGCGCATGGGGACCGGACAACCCAAGTCTATTGAAGATTGGCTCCAACTCTCTGAAGACTATGATTCAAAAGTAGCACAACCTGGAAAGAAACGGGTATGTAGAATCGAGTATTGGCTCTTTTTAAACTTAGTGATCTCATACCTTTCTTTCATCTCACGTCTCCAAGAGAAGCAGATTTTTTACCTTTCTTTTTCTTTCCTTCTCTTTTTTTTTTTTTTTTTTTTTTTTTTTTTTTTTTTTTTTTTTCTTAGATAAAAACATTTTTTGAATATTAGGTCTCAAACAGAATCATAATTGGCATGTAACAGAAGCGTAAACCACACCCTTTATAATTGCTATTTTCATGGTACGAAGAAGTTTAATGAGCATTTAATGAAGGTATTATTTTCATTATGGTGTCTTTAAGATGGAATTATACAGTTGGGTTCAAATTTATATACCTTTCTCAAAAAAAGAACCTTACAATAAGGCAAAAAATTGAAAATTCAGATGGTAAGATCGGTAACACTACCAGAGTATTAGGGCCGTTGGCTGCTGTGCACTTAGTAGCCTCTGATGTTATCTCTTGATGACATTGGAAACTGTTCTCCCTGGAATGATTGTGAGCTAACAGGGATCAGCTTTGGATCATTGCCATCCTTCTCATGAGACCATCTAATATATATTTTTATTTATCCATGGATGCTAGGATTGCCGGATTGTTTTTTTACATGCACTGCCCATTGTATTCTTTTTTCTCTCTTTCTTTCCTTTTTTGTTATTCTTTTGCTTGTTTCCTTTCTTCTTTTAAATAGTTGGCTCCATAACCACGTCACCAAGGAGTTAACTACAAGCTCTACCTGGCCTCGCTTTTTATCCCAAACTTGGAATTCTGAAGAAAAAACATTTTATTCCTAAAGCAGACATTTTTATTGTAAAAAAAAAAAAAATTGTTAATGAACAAAACTGATTAAGTAAAATTACAGGGGACATGGGAAGTGTACATACCCTGGCAGCATCAACTCGTTAATAATGGGAGTAATATAGGGCGATTCTGTATTACGTAGCAACGGCGCTTGGCAACAGCAGCGGGGTGAAAACAAATAGCCAAAAGGGCTGGCGGTAATATTTGCAGTTTATTTTCACCCCACAGAAATAGTTGCTACACGTTGCTAAGCTGCTTACATTATGCCAAATTGCCCTATTAATAGAAATCAAAACTTTTTCCTGTAAATTCAAGGGATGAGGTAAACAGTTGAGGTCAAGTAGGCTTTTTAACTCCTTGGTGGCATGTATATACATGCCATGGATGTTGTGGTTAAGGTAGCAGGTGGCATCAAACGCTACCATTCCTGCACCATCAGCACATGGAATGGAGCTTGTATTTATGCGATAGTAGAAGCATCA